GCCCCGGCTACCTAGGTGGGGCCAGGTGGGGCTGGTGTTTACAGGGCTTAAGTAGGATTTCCGAAAAATCTACTAGTAATTCTTCAGAGAATCTACGGATCATTTGTCAACTGCAAATGAAAATGTGATGATACCCATGGAAGTTGATGGTAACGCAGCAGCAAAAACTTCAATGTAGCACACATGAAACAAAAAAGAGGTAACGGGAGCTAAGGTTTGAGTAGGTGGCATCAAAGTGGGGAAAAAAACTTATAATAGTAGGAAAGATAATCATAATTATAAGGAAAATATGTAATTTTACTGAAATCGTTTTTGTCACTATATCGGGAAAGACGTACACGATGATGGTTCAAGCAAACATACAAAAAGCTGTTATTTTTAAATAAACGGATGTTAGCTGTGATGTATATTTTCTAGATGGCGTAAGTAACTACTATACGTAGATGAAATAACAGTTGCTTTTTTAAAAGCTTAGCATACGGAGGCTGTAAACGCATCGTTCGCCAACCTCTCCCATGGGTTAATAACCCCTCTGTGTGTCATGATTCTCCTCTCATTCTGCTTGTAAAATACTTAAGTTCAAATACTTAATTGCCGTTGTTCCCTATCCTATCAACCTGCAAACAACTTTTAGCTACACCTTTTATGACGGTCCACCATTTGCCACCGGCCTTCCTCACTATGGTCATCTTCTCGCCGGCACCATCAAGGATATTGTAACACGCTACGCATACAGTCAAGGTTTTCATGTAGAGCGACACTTCGGGTGGGATTGCCACGGCCTTCCAGTGGTGAGTTTGCTTTTTCTTGCACTCATTTTGTTTTCTCCAGGAATATGAGGTAGACAAGGCAAACAATATTACTGGACCTCACGATGTGGAAGCCATGGGAATTGCAGCGTACAATGATAAGTGCCGGGAAATTGTCATGCGGTACAGCGAGCAGTGGAAGGTAAACTTGGTTTATTCGTGATAAACTGCCTTACTCTCCCCTGCAGTACGTTGTG